CCCGGGTCTCTGCCCTCACCAGTGCTGACCGACTCGTGCGGGGCTTGAGTATAACTTGCCAAAATCTTTATTCTTTCGATATTTGCAGATATGTGCCACTGTTTCCAACTTTTCATCAACAAAAAGGCCTTTCCAACTCCTTCCAAATTAGAAGACCAGGTGGTGACACACAGCACCTCTGGACATTCTCCCCTGTTCGGGGCCGGAGGCGGGCCGGGCCCTGGGACTGCTCTCAGATGAGAAGCGGCCGCCGTGCTCCCCACTCCAGAGACCCACAGGAACCTTTGTAACTAACCCCCACCCCCAGGGAAGGCTAGGAACGCTGGAGCCCGCGGCTGGGGGCTGCCGGGGGACCAGGCCCGGCTGGACGCGCTGCGCCAGGCTCGCTGCACCAAGAAGAAGGGAGCTCGGCCCCACGCCCGGCGCCGGGCCAGCGCGACATGGGCCCAGAGGGGCGGGGGCGTGCAAGCGCTCGAGGGTCCGAGCGCCCGCCCGGCCCAGCTGCTCCTGGGGGGAGCTTTCCCGCCCCTCCCCCCCTCCGCTCCTTCCTGCATGGACTTCTGCCGTTCCTGCTCCGCTCCGGATGCCACCGCCACCGCTGCGCGCTTGCCTTTCCCCCTCTTGGCCTCCCCATTTCCTAGGATCCGCATTGGGGCGGGCTCTGCCCCAGGAGCCTGGCAGGGGCGCAGGGCCTCTTCTGGCCTCTCTCCTCTCTCTCTCCATCCACTGTGCCCCTCGGGCCTCGCCGACCGTGCTCGGTGCAACGTGCCGTTTGGTGTCCGTGCCGCAGACGGGCCACTGCCCGCTCACTTCTGGACTTTGCTGTTCCCCCGGTTATCGTGCCCCATGCTCCCCGCCATCCCTCAGCCCCACCGTCCACCTCTCCTCGCCCCCTCCCTTCTCGTAGGCCCCAGCCCCTGGGCTGCGCGCTCCTCGCGCCCTCGGTATGTTCCGTGTCCTTGCTCTTCTGTAAGGGGCGGGCCTGGCTCAGTGAACTTTGCTGCTCTGTACGGTGCCGTGTGTAAGAATAAACCCATTGGAATACTCGTGGTCTCCGTTCCTTCCCAGTCCCGCCGCCCCGGCCCTGCCCCACTGCTAGGGCCTGCCCAGGAGGAGGGTGGAGGGGAGGGCAGGGGAATCCAGGCGGGCTGCTGTCCCCCCGTGGGCCCTGCGCCCTTTTAACACGCCTCTTCTTTTCTCTTTCAGTCTCGAAAGGGCGCCGACTTGGACAGAGAGAAGAAGGCTGCCGACTGCAAGGTGGACAGCATCGGGAGCGGCCGGGCCATCCCCATCAAACAGGTCAGCACTCCTTTCCCCTGTGGCCCGAGAGCGGTGGGGATGAGGGATGAGGCCCAGGGAACACCGTAGGTGGGCCTTTCCTTCCGGCCCCTTAGCCGACCTGAATGCTTCACCCGACAGAGGTTCTCCTGCTAAGGACAGACCTCCAGGAAGCCTGCCCCCCACCCCCGCGGCCGGAGCAGTCCCTCCGCGGGCCCTGCCCATTCCTGCTCGCCGCCACCAGGGGGCAGCAGAGAGCCGCCGGCCCCGCTCAGCCGCTCTCCCGCAGTGCTTCAGGCGTCGGGCAGCCGGCCTACCTGTCCCGTTCCCAGAAAGGAACTCCCAGAAGAGGGCCCTGAGGGGCACACACTGAGAGGCACGCTGAGGGCTGCTCCTGCCCGGGGCTCGTTGGTGCAGGTTTCTCCGTGGGAGCCTCTGTTCCCTGGAAAAGCTGAGTTGAGCTGCCCCGCGTCCTGGGTGCCTCCTTGCCCAGTCTGCCTGGCAGGGCTGGGCCTCCGGAAGCTTGGAGCTTCCCAGACCCTCTGGGTGGGTCCCTGTGCTGGGAGAAGACCTTGAACGCGGCAGGGCGTCCTTGTGCAGGAACGGTGGCGTGTTGGGCAGCTGTAAGGCTGCTGAGCCAGACGGGTGGAGCCGGGAGGTGTCTGTGGAGCTCAGGCAGAAGCCTGCTGGCTGACCCGCCCGGGAGGACAGCGGCAGGGGCTTGGCGATCAGGACCCTGGGCCCGGCCCAGATATTCGCAGGAGGTGGTGGTTAGACATGGCATGTTTCTAGGGACTGTGGTGTCTGTCAGGTTTTGACTACAGAGGAGACTGGGGTGGCCAGGTCACTGGAGCTCGGCCAGGCCAGGGCCCCGTGGACAGGGTTTGGCCCTCCAGGCTGGGCCTTCTGGGGCCCGTGGGCAGCCTGGCAGGATTCCTGTGTTAAAGTGGGATTCTGACGCCGCCGCAGGGAAGGTCTACGTAGAACGGAGAGCCCGGAAAGGGGGTCGGGGTCCCAGAGGGCAGGTGGGGAGCCATCTGTTGCTCCCGGTCCTGTGTCTCTGCTTCGGCCCTCCGCTGGAATGTCATCCCACGGGGCCTGGCAGAGGCGGCTGTAGCAGGATCACCTCCGGGGAGGCCAGGGGCAGCGGCCAGTCTCCTCGTCTGGCTGGGTGTCTGGGTGCAGAATCAGAGCCCACGCACCTGTTGATGGTGTGATTGTGTGGCTCTGGGGCGGTGCAAACTGCGCCTCCCTGGGGGCCGCTCACCAGGCAAGGCGGATGTGCCCCACAGAGGCCCGTCACTCTCTGCTTTGGGGGCAGGTACTTTCTGAGCCTGATGCGCACACGTAAACATTTAATACATAAAAGAACACTTTCTCCAGGGTCTTTACTTTGAGATAAGGATAGCCCCAAATGCCTCCTTCCTGTTTGGGGTGCAGGCTAATTTGTCACTTCCCGGAATCCCCCACATGGAGGGGAGGGAGCGCTGGAGGATGGGGCTGGAGCCCTGCGAGCTTGCACCTGGGGCTCTGGTCCAGCCCCGGGTCAGCTGGGTCGCCTGGCTGGTACAGGCCGCTAAACCTCAGGGAGCCCCTGTAGGAGCGGACCCTGCCAGGAAGGAAGCCGAGCGAGCTCCTGGGCCACAGCGGGCTCCTGCAGGGCACTCGGGGTGTACTTGCATGGAGGTGGGGGCCGTCCACGCTCTAGGTTCCCCCGCCCCGTGGCCCTGCCTGGCGCTTCCCCCCAACCTCCAGCTGCCCAGGACTGGTGTGGCCCCTCTCCTTCCCGCCCTCATGTCACGGTCTCCCCGTCCCCTTCGTTCTCCGCCCCCCCCCACTCCTGCTGGGAGTGGAGATTGCATTTCAGCTGCCATTTGCATTCCCAATCAATCCGGACTCCGCAATTAAGCCGGCTGGCGGAGCTGGGAGGGAGGCGGCGGCAGAACGGGTCCTCTGGGGGCTGGCGCCTCCGCACCGCTCCCATTCCGCCCCAGATTGCTTCCTGCTCCGCTGGGCGCAGCCGGGCCGGCCAGGGAGGGGAGCAGGAACCCCTGTAGCTCGTCTCCCTCCTCGGAGGGCAGGATGCAAGGGAACGGGAGGAGCCGGGTAGGCAGGCCTCTCACCAGCCTGGCCTTCTGTGCTCGGTCCGCGTCCGGGCGCGGGCGGGCAGGTGCGAGGCAGGCCGGGGGCGCGAGTGGGCGGCAGGCAGGTCGAGTCCCTGGCCAGCCGCGCTCGCTTTCCTCCTCCCGGTCCTCCCACACCCCTGCTGACGGCGCGCTCGCTCACTCGCGAGCTCGTTGGTGCCAGGCCAGGGCTCCCCTGCTTCCTCCAGGCCCGAGGCCCAAGTGAAGGAGGGGCCCGAGTGCTGGGCAGGAGAGGGTTCCGTCCCAGGCCGGCCCCCTGCGCCTCCTGACCCTGATTCCCTGCTTGGAAGAGGGAGGAATCCCCGCATGTGAGTCCACTCTCCCTACCTGGCCGGGAACGTGAGGCCCAGGCAGGTAACGGGACTTGTTTGATGTGGAGGGCTAGTTGGTGGCAGATGTGGGAGCAGAGCTGGGCTTCCCTTTCCCATGACCCGGAGCCGGACCTGGACCCAGGAGGGAAGGGCTCCAACGTGGGGAAGATGCACGGTCCGGCGAGGGAGAGCAGGGCTCCGGTGGGAAGGATCTGAGAACAGAGGCTAGTGTGGAACCCCCTCTGAAGGCCGGGGGCTGTGGGAGACGGGGAAGAGAGGAGCAGGTGAGCTGGCCACAGCAGCCATCTTCCCAGCCCTTCTGGAGGGCACAGGGTGAGACTGGGGACTGCCTTCTCCAGAATCTGGCTGTTGGTCCTGAGGGGTGTTGTCTGCAGTCAGGGGAGAGGGAGCAGCTGAACTCTTGCCTTGTTCCTGGCCTGGGAGCGGGTGGATACCATGCCCGGAAGCAGGTCACTGAGGCTCATTTGCAGACCACAGGGCAGGGCTCTGCCTTCTGGAATGTTCCACACGGTCTAGTGACGGTCCCGTTAATACCACTTGTCTTCAGATGCCGCTTGTGAGGATGGGTCTCTCATGCTGATGGGGACCAGGTCGTAGACTGTGTCCTTAGGTGACCCGGGACTCCTTAACTCGATCTCATGTGGCCGCACCTCCCACGGCGGCATCTGTCTTTTGGGGGTGGCGGGATGAGGGAGATAGGGAAAGGAAGGAGTGGTAGTAAGGATGCTAAACATCTGTTGAAAGGTGGGAGACTCTCAGCTCTGTCTTGGTTCCTTCGGGGCAGATCGGGCAGGAAGTCCCAGCGGCGTGTTGGCTTACCTCCTCCCTTTAGGACTGAGCCTTCTCTTCGGAAAAACTTGGGAAGTGAGAGAGAATCGGGGTTTACCCTGCACCCTTGGGCCCCAGGACCCTAGCTGATGCTGTTTCTTCACACTTGAGTCTCTTTACCCCTGTTTTCCTCCTGGTCTTAGGGCAGGGCCTCCATTCCTCAAGGAGGAGCCGTTACAAAGCCACATCTTCGAGTTCCCTCTTTCTGGTCCCCACTGGGGTGGACTCCGGGTGCTTCCTCTGCTCTCCCCTAGCCTCTGCTGGTCCTGACTCCTCCCCGCTGGAGCTCCTCCTGTGTGGCTCTCCCCTCGGAGGAGTTTTGTCTGGGAACCTCCAGCAAATCCCGCTTCTACTCAGCCCTCCTGCATGTGGGGCAGGGGGGCTCCTGGGGGTGATGCTGGTCCTGAGAAGCTGCCACAGAGACCTGTTCATGGCACTTGCTCCCCTCCCTGACCCCAGCTCCTGTCCTCAGCCATTGTCCTGTGCTGTCTGTCGTTTCGGGGAGAGAGCCAGAGGTGGGCGAGGGCGTCTTTGGCGGTATCCCTAGAGGAAGGCGAAGGCCACCCTTGGGTCTTCCCTGTGGCCTTCCTCTCTCAGCCCACAGCCCTTTCAGCATCTTTGACGGCGCCCGTCAGCTGGCTTCTCCCAGCGCACCCACCAGACGTTTGCGGGGCGTCTGCTGTGTCCCAGGCACGGTCGCGGTGCTGAGGGTGTGTCCCTGAACAGAACACACGGACGGCCTTGCTCTCGCGGAGCTCGTGTTCATGCGCCCGCTCCTCTTCCCTCCACGCTGAATATCCCGTAGGCTTGCACAGAGAATCTGGTTGCTGAGCTCTGTGGTTGGGTCTCCACCCTGCCCGCCCCCAGGAGTCTGGGGCCTTCTAGGGACGGTTAGGGATTTCTGTCCTGTTCAGGCAGCCCTGGAGACCTGCGGGCAGGAGCATCACTGCCCTCTGACACCCTGCATCCTGGTGCTGGCATGGCCCCACGACTCCGGGGGATGCAGGGTCCATGGGCCTGGGGAGGGGGGGGCCCCCAGGCTGCTTCCTGGAGGACGGTCAGGGGTAGCCGCGGCTTCCGTCCTTTGTAGCCTCTGCACTTAGACGAGGCCGGGGGATGGAGGATGGGGTTACCTGGTGTCACCGTGACCTTCTCTGGGCCTGTCTCTGACCCAGCCTCTGTCCTCAGGGCATCCTGCTGAAGCGGAGCGGCAAGTCCCTGAACAAGGAGTGGAAGAAGAAGTACGTGACGCTCTGTGACAACGGGCTGCTCACCTACCACCCCAGCCTGCACGTGAGTCCGCGGGAGGCCTGGGCCGCCGGAAGAGCTGCAGACGCGGAGGGGCGGACCGTAGGAGGAAGGGAAGCAGCCTTGACACGTTCAGACGGACTGGCCCTTCAGAAAGGCCCCCGCCGTGGTGGCCCGGGGACCGCCCAGACCGCAAGGCGCAGGCCCGGGCTGAGCGCGCACATCCCCGCAGAGCTCCGTGGTGGCTGAGTCCGTCGGCGAGAGCTCGGCCCCGGGGATGGCTGCCTCTAGGCCAGGCTGCCGCGCCCCTCACGTCCTCCAGCCCACGCGCTCTGTGTTTGCAGAGCTGGACTGGGCCCGTTTACGTGGAATTGTCAGAGTTCGGGGTGCCAGTGGTGGCCAACCAGTTGTTTTGGGGGGAGCCACGTCGGCGGGGGGGGGACATCCCTGGTTTCCTGGGCCTGAGGTGACAGAGAGCCGGGGGGGCCGTTCAGCCAGGGCTGCCTGGAAGGGCACGGGTCCTCTTAGGAAGGGGAGCCTGGGGGTGGAGGTGTCTGGAGGGGGTGGGGTGTGGTGACGGCAGAGTGGCCCTTGTGGCAGCCCCTCCCCACACTGCGTGGCTGCAGCGCACAGCTGTCACCAGAATCCATCTCTGTCACCGCCCCACTGTGGGGCTAATGAGTTCTCCTGCGCAGCCCCTCAAGCACAGCACGTGAGCCAGCCCGGGAGCCCGGGGCCTGCCTCCGAATCTGCACAAGGTGTCCGGGCGGCCCGACCTGGGAGGCGCTGGGGTCCACGGTGCCTGCCCTAACCGGGGCCCGAGAGCACCTCCCGGTCAGCCCTGCCGAGAAGATGCACCGGGGCCTGGCTCGGGGGGAGCCGGCGGGCCCCTGCTTCTCATCAGGACGGAGCCCGGCCTTGCCCTCTTGGGCTTCTCCCTGTCTGACTCCTCGGACGCTGGCCCTTCCCCCCTTAGCTCGGGGACCACCACTAGTTGGACTGTGCCCCCTGCCGCCTCATTCTCTGCAGGGTGGGAGGTGGTGCCAGGGTACTGGGCGGGGGGGGGGGGGGCACACCCGGTGCCCTTGTGCATCTAGTCCAAAGGCTCCTTGGCCCTACTCCACCGGCCACCTCGTGCGCAGACCTGGTCCTGCTGCTGAGTCAGTGCGGGGCAGCAAGACACAGGTGTCTTAGGAAGTCCCGGGGCATCCTGCAGGTTCAGGGCCTTTGCACCAGGAAGACGGCAGAGCCACGGTGCTGCCAGCTAAGGCGGGCCGCCATGCGCATTCACAGGCCAGCCTCGTGCCTCCGACCTCCCAGCTGTCCGTCCTGCCCCCCCTGCCCCCCCGCCCGTCCCCCTCTACCCCAGGCAAGATGCACTGGTTCTCCTCAGGCAGTGTCTTGCCAGTGGAGCCGGGAACGAGCCTGTTGGGAGCACCCCGGCTTCCCCCCGCCCCCGTGTTGGGGTGGCCTTGCCTATCCCCCTTCGCTGCAGCCGTGCCCGTTCTTTCTGCTCTGTGCTGCTCGAGCTGTGCTGTGTCCCTTCTTCCTGTCCCCACGCCTCAGATGATGGAGGAAGCCCAGTATGGAGGAGAGGGACGGGAAGGGAGTCTCAGGATGTGGGGGACGGTGTCGGGTGGTTGGGTTGGGTTTGGGTTTGGGAAGAGAAGGTAAAGGCTTGAGCGAACGCTGCTTTTATGCTCAGCCATCTAGAGAGCCGAAGCGTGGTGGCTTGGCTGGATCATTAAAGTCGCCCAGCCGGTGGCTGAGCTAATACCTGGACCCATGACTTTGACTCGAAGCATGACACAGGTGGTTCTGCACCGTGCCCAGAGCACCTCTTTTCCAGACTAGCCGAGAAAGTGACTGGAGAGTTTACGTCCAGGCAAGTGTGGCCTAGACTGTTGTCAAGGAGGACGGAGCTCTGAGTAGCTCAGACGCCCTTCCAGCTTGTTGAACCGAGTGCACTTGGGTGCGTTCAGGGGCCGGGGACAGGGTCTGGGTGCCAGGGGCTCAGCTCGCCACTGGCTGTCCGTGGCTCTGGCGTCAACAGGTAGGTCTTCCTGGCACACGAGAAGCCGGGAGGCCCTGGCCCCTGAGGGGAGCAGCGGCCCTGCCCTGTGGATGCTTCTCTTCCCGGCGGGAGACACGGATCGGATCGGGAAAGCCTGGGAGGGTGAGAGGAGGAGCACGGGTCATCCCGTGCTGCTGCGGGAGCAGGGTTGAGTCTACCACCAGCCGCCAGCCGCGGCTCTTCGCTCCGTCCGCCCCTCTCGCTTCCTGACATTCTCTCCTCCCTGCCGCCGCGCCCGCTGTTGCTGCCTTCCCTGCCCTCTCTTTCCCAAGTGGTGCCCCCCCCCCCGCCCAGCTTCCTGGGAGGTTCCCTCCCGCTGGGCAGCTGTGCCCCAGGAAGGGCCGTCGGGTCACCCCCGAGGTGCACACAGCACTCACAGCTTCGCCTGCTGCCATCGCAGGGACGGCTCCTGCCCATGACCACAGGAAGGGCTGCCGGGCAGGCCTCAAGCCTTACCACCGCACCCCCCCGCCGCCTGGCCCAAGAGAGCCCGCCCCAGCCTCCCCCATTTTGCAGCCAGCGGAGCCATTCACACAATCACCTTCTGTTAATTCTATCTGCAACATCAATTAAATTGTTTGTAGAAACTAATTGAATGTGGCTTAATCACACATCTTAATAGCTTTCCACGCTCTGAACTCGTTGTTAATTCCAGTAATAAAACGAGATGAGAACGCTGGCTGGGTAATTAGCGAGGAGGCTGGGGAAGAAATTGCCGTTTGATGGCGGATAATAAAGGCGGCCGTGGTGACCGCTCTCCTGAGCCGCCGCTGCCGCCGCGCTCCCCATTCTGCTGACGGAGGCAAACGCCGGCGCTGTGCCCCTGACGTCCCCGTCCCCGCTCCGTGCGCTCCGTCTGCCGGCCTGGTGCTGGAGCTGGCCTGGCCCAGGGCTCGGCGCCCCGGGGGCGGGGGGGGGGGGGCGGGCCGGCCCGCGGGGGGGGGGGGGGCCCCCGGGGGGGGGGGGAGGGGGGGGGACAGGCCCCTCGCGTCGGTTTCTGGCTCCTCGGCCCTGAGCGGAGTCCCTGCGTGCGACTTGGGTTCTTGGTGTGAGGTCCGCGTCTCCATGTCCCAGCCGGGGCATCCCGGGGCCGTCACGCGGCCTGAAAACTGTTGCAGCTGCCCTGACCTCCTTGTGAACTAGAGCAGCCCGCGCCCCTCCCCCAGGAGAGGGACCGCAGCTGTGCCTTCGGCCCAGCCAGCTGTTGACAGTTGTCGGAACAGCCAATCCACGATGCGACCGTGTGCGGGGACCCGGGACGGGTGCGCGCAGAAGCCGAGTCCGGGGGACCTCGGGCCCAGGGCCGTGAGGCTGATGCCGGACGCTGGTGGCCCAAAAGCAAGACGGCAGGGCCAGCGGTGACCGGGTGGGGGGCTGAGTTTGCTGGAAGATGGACGGCTGGGGGGGACGCGGCAGGGCTGGGCAGGAAAGGAGGTCCCGGGTTTCTTTTTTCCCCTGGGCACCAGGGCGAGGCTTCGCTGAGCAGAGTGGGGGTGAGAGCTTGTCACGGGGGTCCTCCTGTGGGTGGAGACCGCTCCTCCAGACTTCTCGGATGTCGTTCTGTGGCTCTGAGACATGAAGCAGGGTGTGCCCGAGGCTGGGCACCTGGCACCTTTCCTCACGGTGGCAGCAGGTCGGTGCGGGGGGTGGGGCACAGACACAGCCCAGAGCAGCATGGAAGGGAGCTCCGCCTTGGGTGCAGGCTGCTGGGGGCTGCCCCTCCCCCGTGCCCGGCTAGGCCCCGCTGTCCTTCGGAAGGGCCGCTCGGAGAGGAGAAGGCAGCTACGGGCCTGGCCGGGCCTCACTGCAGCTGGACGTGGCCGGTGAGGCCCGCGTGCTCACGTCCCCACGGGTCCCCCCTCCCCGATGACGCACCTCGGAAGTGAGTCTGGCACTGGGTGCTGCTTGTTCTCGCTCCTCTTCCTGACTGGAAACTTGCACGTTCTCGTGGCTGCTTGGGGCCGGGGGACCCCTTTCTACCTGATGTTCTCTTGGTCATTCCCAGAGTGAGGGCCAGCCCTAAACCCCCGGTCTGCCCCCCACCGGCTCTCTCAAGCGGGGCACACTGGCCCTTTTCCCTGAAGCTGAGGGTGACAAGAAGTCAGATGTCCCGAAGCGGGTGAAGGCACGAGGCCTGGGGGCTGGACGGCGGGGACCGTGTCTCGGGGAAGCGCTCTGACGGCTGCTCCCGAAGGGAGGAGAAGAGCAGGTCGGAGTCTACTCCGGGGAACTCCAGAGTTCAGCTGGCACCCCCCCAACCCGGATTCTGCTCTCTGGAAGGAGCGGTGGCCACCTTTTATCAGGGACGTTAGCTGGGAACTGCTGAGGAACTTGCTGGCGGTAGAAGCAAGGAAATGGGAGGTAGCCGTCGGGAAGGAGACAGCAGAAGCAGTGGGGAGAGCTCGGGCCCTGGCTAGGCTCGGTGTTAAAGCAGGAAGCTAAAGGGCCGCGGCCGGGCTCTGCTCTGTGGCCCCCACGTTACCGCTCCACCGTGGGACTCCCAGGCCAATGTCAAGATGGCAGGAGTGGGGTGGGGGGGGGGCAAGGCACTGAGTGGCTCCCACTCTCAGCGGCCCTCCGGGTGCTGACCTGAGATAGGCATGAGTGCCTGGGCCCGGGACATCTGCCGTCAGTGCGCAGCCCTGGGAATCCACAGAGCCTGGGCTCGAGTCTGTTTCTACCACCGTCCGACGGTGTGACCTTGGGCAGATTAACCTTTGTAAGCCTCCGTTCCTTCAACTGCAAAGCGGCCCTGGTGCGTGAGCGATGATCTGCAGCTGTGGGGCATGAGTGCCTGGCCCCGTTGGATGGGCAGGTGGTGTGGTGGCATGATGACAGTGGTTATTGTTCCTTTGCTCGTCAGGTGCCCCCTAGTATCTGTGGAACCGTGGACCGGTCTCTATACTCTTAAGGCTTCTTTTTAACTGTTTTAACATATTTATCATCAGGCACCGTTGTCAGGATCGAGGACTGTTCTAGGCTTTAAGGGTTCCCCGTGCCGCAGTGGTGGTGAGAGCTTCTGAAACCAGGGCTGAAGCCCTCGGTGATGCGCCACCCAGAGCTCAGGGCGGCCCAGCCGTCTGCGTCCTTTGGACTTTGTCAGTTCCTCTCCTGGCCATGCAGGCCTGCTCTTCCCGAATCCCACTTTGGTCCTGTACTTGGCCTTGTTCGCGTTGCCCCCTGAGCTCTTTCCTAAAGGAGCCCTGCGCCTCAGCTCTGGGCTCCACGCCCTTCTCTCTCCCCTGCTCCTGCCCCCTGCTGACTGAGTCCCCCCAGAGCTGCATTTGGTCCCCAGTAGATTGGGTGTCACCCACGTCTGGTGGGTGGGTGGGAAGCCTGGGGGCTTCACTGCCCTGCTTTTCAGAACTTGAGCTTTCCCTCCTTCCTTTCTCGCGGCACAGGGGGGAGAGACGTTCGAGTTGGCGGGTCAGTGCCAGAGACAAAGTGCGGCCGAAGAGGGATCTGCCCTAACGCATGTTTGTCTGTTTTGTCCCCATGGCCCTTAGGATTACATGCAGAACATCCACGGCAAGGAGATTGACCTGCTGCGGACCACAGTAAAGGTGCCAGGAAAGCGCCTGCCCCGCGCCACCCCTGCCACAGCCCCAGGCACCAGCCCCCGGGCCAACGGACTGGCCCTGGAACGGAGTAACGCACAGCTGGGTGGGGGCGCAGGTGAGGTGGCTGGTGGCGGTAGGGGTGGGGGGGTGCCTTTCTCTGCGGGATCGGGGAGTGCGGTTATGGAGGCCCATGGGGGGAGGCGCTGTGGGGCTTCACTCTTCCCCAGCCTGGGTCCTCGGGGCTCCAGACGTGCTTGCCACGCAGAGTCCTGCTCAGCTAAGTGCGTTTGCCCAAGTGCTGCCCTCTTGGGAGCTGGTAGAGGGAGTGGCGGGTGATTTGGAGATCAGGGTGGGGCCAGACAGCCTGGAGCTGACGGGTGCTAGCAGCGGTCCTGGGACCGTTTCTCCTCAGCTGGAGCCAACCAAGGCAGGTGTTGGTGAGAACGGGATCTCTAGCGCACGTAGCCAGCGTCTCAACCAAGCACGCCGCGGTGGGGGGGTGGGGGTACAGCTGGAAGGGCACGCGGCTCCCTGGAGTTCACCCGGCGAACGCCCTCGGGTCTGCAGTGAGAGGTAGGGTCTTTGCTCAGAGAGGACTGAGCTTAGAGAGAAGCCGGAAGCCAAGCAGACTCTGCCACGAGTCTGGCGGTGTGGGAAGGAGAGCTAGAGGCTGAGAGAGCCTGAACTTGAGGCGTGGCAGCTTCTCCTTGACCAGTGTTCACCTTTCCGGATGACACTGAGAGTTCAGGTGAATGATGCTTATGTTTGTTTCTGTCCCCGGCTCTGTCTGCCTCCCTAGGCCTCTGTGGCCACAGTGTGGCTCCCAAGCCACACTGCTGTCCCTCCCAAGTCCCCGTGCCCCAGATCTGCCTTGGCTTCTGGACCCTCATTCCCAAGACTTCACTCTCCCTGATGTTGTCCTAGATGACTGGATCTCCTTTTCCTTGGACCTAGAAATAGCTACTTAAGATGCTGTCCTGCTCTCCTAGGGGCTGCCAGTGTGTCCCTGCCCCAGGGGGTGCTCTGCTTATTCACAGTCATAGGCTGATGCAGATTCAGTGGACGGGGCTGGGTACGAAGTCCCTGGGATGGATGGAACAGACCCCAAAGATTTGCCCCCCTCAAAATGCTGATGACCCGCATTGAGCAGCTCCGGGTCCAGAGAAGGCGGCCAGCCGATGGCCTCCTGAGGGTGCTCCTTGTTGGAGGCACACGAGCACTCTGCACCCCGGCCCTGTGGCCCGTGTGCAACCCCCGCTGACCAGTCTGGGGGCACGGGGAGGGGCTGCCGTCTGCTGATTGAGATGTGCGCCAGATGCAGTAGATCTACTCTAGGTCAGGCCCGTTTTGCGGCTCCGTGAAGTTGAGAGATTATCCCCGTTTGATGGACGAGGAAACGAAGGCTCAGCGAGATTCAGTAACTTGTCTGTAAAATTCCACAGTAAGTGGTAGAGCTGGGATTTGAACCTGAGTGTGCCTGACTTGAAAAGCCACCCCGAGCTCAGAGAGAAGCCCCGAATTGTGCAGAGGGAGAGCTCCAGTGGACTAAGGCACGAAGCTAAGGAGCAAGGCACCCAGCCGGGGCCGGCGGGGGGGGGGGGGGGGGGGCGGTGCCGAAAGCCTCCTGTGGGGATGCACTGGGGGGAGGGGTCGAATGGCAAAAAACGGCAGGCCCCGGGCTGCCCTTGGCGCTCTGCGCAGAGAGCTAGGTCGGGGCTGCTGGGAAATCACTGGTGAGCAGGGGCAGGGGGGCCGGGCATCAGCCAGGGGCCCTGAGCTCTCCTGGAGCTGCGTGCACAGTGAGAGGCGGCCTCTGAGCTGGCGTGGGGTTCCTCGGATCCTACAGAGGAGGAGAAAGTATCAGTACTCTGAAAGGTCGGGGGGAGCCTTTCCTTGAAGTCAGGTAGCAGGACGGGGCTCTTTCCCCAAAGGGAGAGAAACCGTGAGACACTCCGTCCTGTCACAGTCCCGGGCCCTCCTAGCCTTCCCCTGGCGGGCGGAGGTGCACTCACCCACGGACACTCGCTTGGCATCACCAGAGCACACGGACGGGCGTTTACCCAAGCCCGTGTCCCCTCCACTGCACGCTGACACCGACCTCATGCACACTCACACATGTCTCCCGCTCACCGGGCGATGTTAACATCTCATTATCTTTGTTACTGTAATTACATTATCCGCTGCTTTATGCAGAATTATCCTCCGAGGACTAATTGATGGCTCCATGTTTAATTCATTAATCATTAGCATCAAATTCGACAATTACAGTGCACACTGATTGTGGGATTGCAGGCGTAATGAGGGGAGAATTAACAAAGAAAAGGGAAAGCACTTTCCCTCCCTCGGGGTTTTGAGTTGGGGGGCTTGGGGAGGAAGTGGGGCCCGTGATGGCTTTGGGTGGGGCTCGGGATGAGGCAGGGATGAGATTTGGAACCCAGGAGGGGGATGGAAGCAGGACACGGGTGGGGAGAAGCAAGGTCTCTGAGAATTTTGGAACTGCGTCTGCCGCTCTGGAAGGTCTCCTGCCAGGGAGCCGAGGGCACCCCCAGGAAGGCTAAGCTGGCAGGGACCCGTCAGGCCGAGTGCGAGGGGGCGGGGCTCTGGAGAGGAAGTGCCAGCGCCTTGCCTCGAGGGGCTGGAGGTGGGATGGACTGGAGGGCAGTGTCGGCACCGCGCGTGGAACCCGTAAGCACTTGCTGTGTGTCTGGTCCTGACTTGGCTGCTAACGACCAATGCAAGAGAAACACAAAAGCTGCCTTCCACCTTCCGGCATCGTACTGTCCGCAGGGCGTTAGGGATGTCCGGCCTGCTTCTCTGCCTTCTAGTGGCTTCCGCCCGGACCTTGCATCCGTAGGCTTCCAGAAACCCCACCCATGTCCTCCCAGGACTGGTTTGCGGCTGAGTTTGCCCCCTGCGCTCTCCCACTTCTTCCCTGTCTCTGCCCCCTTACTACCGTCCCGCACCTGGGCCGCTCTCCCGCCTGGCGCTCAGGCACCTCGCGTCCGGCCCCGCCTGTCTCCAGCCTCGGTCCCCGTCCTCACGTGGACGGAGGTGAGAGGGCACTGGAGGCCCTTCGGTTGTCACAGGCTCGGAGGCCCGCAGCTGTCCCATGGGCGCTCTGCAAGGGACTGGGTGCTCGGGGAGGGAGCAGGGCAGCTCGGAGGGCACAGGCGGCCCAGCCTGCCCGGGCCTTGGCGCTCCTGGAGCCTCTGGTTTCCCTTGGCTCTGCCATTCTTCCCTGATGGGAAACGAAAGATTAATTTTCTCCAGCCCAACAGGATAATTACTAATACTAATTAGACATAATTACTTGAATCTGATACACTTATTTCTCGTCAGAATGGCACCAAAGCTGAGGCAAAGCAAATGGCATATGTGGACTAGAACGTGGGGTGCAGGGGCCTGATCCAGAGGGGAAGGGGGCTGGGGCTGGTGGCTAGACAAGGAGCGCTGCGGTGAGGGGTGTCAGTACCACATGCCCCCCTCTTCCGGCTCACAGGAAGGGGACTGAGACGCAGAGGGGGGTGAAGCGTGAGCCCGGCTGCCTCCTGAGGTGTTGTGGGGAGGGGCGGGGCCCACTTGAGGCCCCTCGGTCTCCAAGAAGCCTGGCCCAGTACCTGGTAAATCCAATTTTGGTCAGTATTCTGCTAGAATTTCTCAAGTTCTGCCTGTAGCGTTATTTTCAGGAAAGTCTGTGTACCCCTCCCCAGCCTCCCTTCCCAGTCTGACCCTTCCCCCCACCCCCAGGTGCCCCCTACTCCGCCAGCAACTCGGCCTGGGCTGGCCCTCGCCCCGAGGGGCTGCACCAGCGCTCCTGCTCTGTTTCCAGCGCCGACCAGTGGAGTGATGCCCTGCCCCCAGGTACGCAGGACCCTGTTAAGCGACACAGAGGAGGGCAGCCAGCGAGAGCGTCTGCAGCCTCTGCAGCCGGGGAGGCTGTGTTGGGATGGAGCCCAGGCCCAGGGGAGGGGCCCAGCAGAGCCTGCCAAGGCTTGTCGCAGCGTGCTGCAGGGCCAGTGCGGGGGGGTCTGAGAGATGGAGTCGGGCCTCTGTCCCTCCTCCGACAGCCGAAGGCGGCTTCCTGCCCCTCTGCCCCTTTGCTGTCCCCAGGCCCTGCTAGGGGCTGGCTGGTGCCGGAGACCTTCCCTCTGCTGCGTCTCTGCCCACCCACTGCTGTCCCTAGGCAGTGCTGGTGGCGGCTCCCGCATCCCCATCAGCCCCCTGCGCAGCCAGCTCATCAGCCTCACCGCGGGGCAGCAGTGGGTGGGCAGAGACGCAGCAGGGGGGGGGGGGGGGGGGGCGGCTGAGTAGGGAGGTCGGAGGCTGGGGGCTTTAAACACGTTCTGAAGGCAGCAACTTGCCTGCCACGGAGAGGGGGGTTCCTAGAGATAGGATCCGGGATCCAGAAAGGTAGTTTTCCCACCTGTGCCGCCTCCAGGGGGCTGAGGCCCCGTCCTGTCTAGCTGGTCAGAAATTCTGCCTCCTCTCTGTGCCATCCCACCCTCCCAACTGTCCTTGGCTCGTCTTCATTTTCTTCCCCTTTCGTCCATTTTTGTGCCTTGCCCTCACATCTCAACTCCTCCTTCCCCTTATTTTTCCTCCCTCTTCAGCGCCGCGCACGCACGCGCGCGCGCGCACACACACGCGCGCGCTGCCCCCCCTCTTCCCCCCTTTCTTCCCCCCCTTTCTCCCCCCTTCTTCCCCCCCTTTCTTCCCCCCTTCTTCCCCCCCTTT